TAGTGGCGAAACCAGGGGCCCCTAGTAGCGTCCTTTGTGACTCAAAGCCTTAGGCACAGGTGTGGACACACACACGAAGCCGTACTCGGCGCGCTCTCCCCTGCTTGCAAACTAGTAGCGAGGCCAGGAGCCCCTAGTAGCGTCCTTACTCCCCGTAGAACGGCCAGAGGCCCCTAGTAGTACCGTCCTAGTAGCGATGCCAGAAGCCCCTAGTAGCGTCGTTTGCGACGCAAAGCCTTAAGCACATGTATGGATACATACACAAACACAAGGCCATAATCGGTGCGCTCTTTGTACACAACTTTGTACACATAGCTTTGTACACATAGCGCCAATATTGGCACTGCGGAAAAATTACTAGCCACCTAAAAAGCCTCAGAAAGACAGACAAAGAAAACAAAACAAAAGCAGACTAAGAGGGCAAGAAAGAAAGAAAAATAGGTGTAGTTACGAGGCCCACTAGTTACAATACGTGCAGAAGTTAGCGAGCGGGACTTTGGTCTTATACCGCCCGGGTAGCTAGAGGTAGGACAGGAGAAATAGAAGGAAAGGCACCAACACACAAGTGTGTTGAGTGCGATTTCCTGCTATAACCCTAAATAGCGGGCGGGATAGCAACAGAGGCCTGGGGCAGGGAGGGGTGGCCCGAAGGCAGTCATCATTGACATTTAAGCCGATTATGGGGACGGCGGAACCATTTCTGAAAAACACCGGGAACCTAAAGAAAGGCCTCAAGAAACGAAAAGCAACAGCAAGAGAGAAAGAACCCAAGAAAACGACAAGTACATGCAACTGAAGAAAGTCACTCTCGTTTCTCGCTCTCTTCCGGCCTGTGAATACTTAGCAGCATGACATGGAAATGTGAATACTTAGCCGTATGCAAAAATCCTGACTGGAATTGGATCTCAGTAAGCCCTGCGGCATAGAATCAGTGGTATCGAGCAATGACAGCAAATCTGAAGGAATCGAACGAAATGCCAAGGTGGAAGCAATCCCCCAGGATCTGGGTCTATGCACATGCGGCGCCCCTCGACGGGGATCACGCCACAGCCCTCAGTGGGACTCTGTGGCGATACACACTTAGATGGTTGCTCGAAAGAGCTAGGATCAGTACGAAGTCCCCCTTGACTGGAAGAAAAGTGCACGAACTGAAAGGCGAGGAAGCCCGTAGATTTGAAAGTGTTTAACACGACGAAGGCGTAAAGATGATGACCGTCTTGACATAGCCAGGGGCATCACCTATCTTGACAGCGACAAAGTCGCAAAAAAGCACGAAGCTTCGCGGGAAATGACCAAGAGGTCATAAAAAGATCAGGAAACATTTTCCCACCGAAGAGATAGCAGGTGGGTGCGTATTTTGCGGAATAACTCAAGAATCGAAAGATCAAGACTATCATCTACTTGCATTGGCCAGCCAAGGCGTCGCTGCAAAGGACACCTAGGACGGGGTGGCAAGGGATACATGAAAAAATCACGTGCAGGACACTCCCACAGGCAATGATGCAAGGTGCCCACAGGGCCTTGGCACAACGGGCAATTAGGTGCGGCTTTAATGTAAGTTTTATGCTTTTTTGGGCGACGTATCACTGCATTCTGAGCAGCATCGCGGGTGCAAATGAAGAAAACCATGGGTCTGATAAATCCACCACAGAGGATATTACGAAGCTCAAGACACATGGCAAATTTTCTGGCTGCAGCACAACGAGTGCTTGAGTACGGAACGTTTTGACATTCCCGAGCATCACGTCGGTCAGAGGCAAGCCACCGATTGTAAAGTAGGCATCGCCAACTCTCACGCAACATGTGATCAAGCAGGCCTTGATCCGCATTGAACTCGGGTCGCAGTGGGTGGAGGCACAGTGTGAAACCAAGCTCATCATGGCTAAAGATCCAAGGCCCGTTGACACTCCAACCTAGATCCAGCAAGAATTTAGTGAGGCATCGAAACCTAGGGCCTTTAGAGTTCAATTTCACAGGCATACGGGCAAGATCTCGTGCAGAGCGAAACGCTGCCCGAATCTGATCAACACCAGACATGAACCACATATCTGCATTGTGTCCTCGAAAAAGCTTGCGCAGATCGGGCGAGGCATTCGGATGTTCGCCCGCAATTCGGCCAAACAGTGTATGCAATTTGTCGAAAAAAGTCTGCGGTGGGCGTTTGACAGCCCAGCCATATTGGGCCTGTGTCCCACTAGTGCATGTTGCAACACGAAGCTTGTCGGACGGACTCATGGGAAGAAACAAGCAACGGCGGGCAATACGACTGGCTTTTTTCAGGCGTTTATCTTCATTTGTGCTCACTTTACGCTCAGCACGCTGCGCCAAGGTAACACCAAGCACAACCGGGGTGTCAGTGATGCATTCAACAGGAGCAATGCTCTGAAGGAAATCGCAACCTTTCTTAGTGATATGGAAAAACATCTGCTTGCTGGCATTTTCTTGCAAACCAAGCCTGGACGACCAATCAGTCCAAAGTGCAACAGCACAGCACGACCAAGCAAAGCAGCATCAGGGCACGTGAGTGTACGATCATCCACGTACAAAGTTTGGTTAACAGTCGTGCACCGATGCTGCACATCAAGAAAAGGAGCAACAAGGCATGCATTCAGGGCAACCATGCTCCAAGGATCGCCTTGCAACAAGGCATTATCAACTTCGACAGGGTGCATGTGGGTGTGGCCAAGAAGCTGAAAGAAACGTCTTTGGTGACACCACATGCTCTGAAGAGTTGACGCAATTGCTTTGGGCATGCCCAACTTGTGCAAGGCATGGGTGGCAAGGCCAGGGTGAGTGCGATCAAAAGCAAGGCTATAATCAAGCGAAGCAAGGAACTCACCAGCATCCACTGCGTTCAGGATATCATGCAAAGCTGTATGGCAACCACGACCTTTTGAACCAGCATGCAAAGCATACGGTGTCCAAGCGTTAAGCCAATCAAGCACAACAGGTTGTTTGAGCCTACTGGACGTCCACACGCGCCAGAATATGGAAGTCACACTAGTGGGTCTCAAAGCAGCCACATTGCACGCATGGTCAGAGGCACGAAAACCTTTGCTCTTTGGAATGTGTGTTTGGCGAATCTGTTTCCAAGCAGTGGGACAAGTCTGACACTGTTCCATGAAATTGTAGAAATTAGTCAAAGCACGAAGCATGTCCACACTAAAGGAAGCAATTTCCGGACCACTCCAGCCATCAAGGCCTGGTGAAGTGTAGGACAATTTGGCCACGGTTTTGACCAAGTCAGCAGGCATGAGAGGAGGCCACTCTAGTACCTCTGCGCGCAAGTCACTGGTGACAGTATCCCAGTCATGACATAAAGACTCTAGCGGAGGGGCAGGACGTTGCCACACATTCAACCAGAATTCACGGAGCATTTGGAAGGCCTGCATCAATGTTCTACAAACATGATTAGGACTATCTTGGTGAAAAAGATTAAAGGTCACAGGACCTGCATCTTGCTTAACCCATTGAAACATTGCTCTCTGATTGGAACGCACCCGAGAACGCCAAGCCAAAATGGCATCAAGCTTTTTGTTTTCGGAACAGGTGCGTTCGAGTGCAATTAGAGAATCACGCCATTCTCCCAGAGACTGGTCTCTACAAGGAAAAACGCGGTCAACTTTAGTGAACAAGTTTCGTGCATGAGCGGTCCAACCGTGCTCAAAAACAACACGCTGAAGTTCAAACAGGCGGCCAAAGGCATTGCGCATCTGGCGAGCTTGTGCGACACTTGGCGCGACACAAGAGTGGCAACGCCACCGTTCACTCTATCTTCGTTGAAAGTGTTTAACAAGTTGTTTTGGTGCATTAGCGGCTTACTGCAAAACACAGAAGTGGACAGCTTGTTAACAGTTCAAAAACATACAGCAGCGTGATCAACAGTTGCTCAGCAGGTACAAGTGGTTGATCAGACCACTCATCCACCGAAATGCCATAGCTTCGTTGGACTGGATAGGCAAATCGGCTCCAGTTTTTGTGCTGGTTAGTGAACGTGTTGAAAATTGACAAACTGCACGCTAATAGCGATACCAGGAGCCCTTAGTAGCGAAACTAGGGGCCCCTAGTAGCGTCCTTTGTGGCTCAAAACCTTAGGCACAGGTGTGGACACACACACACACCACGCCGATATCGGCGCTCAAGAGATGTACTAGCCACCTAACAAGCCTTAGAAAGAAAGAGAAGGAAAAACAAAAAGAGCAAACGAAGAGGGCAAGAGAGAAAGATAGGAGTAGTTACGAGGCCCACTAGTTATGAAACCTTCTAGTTACTGAATACTTATTTTGCAAGAGTGCTACATCACACAGCGTTTGCCACTCCCTCCCACCCAACGCTCTGCAAGCATGCTTTTTGCCATCGAGCTGAATGAGTATCCAATTTGGATTCATGGCCGGGAACTCTGCCATGAAGTTGCGAGCTGGCTTGGCTGTTCGAAGAAATGCTTGGACGAAAGCTATGCACGAACAGCTTGCCACACCCCTTTCCGCTATGCGAACCACTAATCTTCTTGGACCTCAATGGTTGGCGGTATGAAGTCCGCCACTTGGAATGAAGCATCACTGACAGCACTGTGAGCCGGTGAAGTGCCTCTAGACAGTGGGCGACTCTTTGGGGTGCAGACATCAAACCTAGCATCGGCACAAAACCCTTGGATAGCTAACGGTGCTCGAATGCAACAAGACTTCTGCATATATGGCCAAAACATCATGCCTGCTCCGAAGGCCGTCACACATACACTGAACAAGGCTCCCATCCCCCAAAACAAAGGTGCAGGCCCTGCAGGATAGGAGATTGTCCACATGGTCCAAAAATGAGTCGTAGCGGCCTGGCAAGCTTGCGTGCAAACAAAGACCCCCCTGTCCCGGAGGAGTCCACTCCAGTTGAACGCTGAGTGTGACAGTGTGTGCAACGAAAAATCTGGCTTTTGGGGAGAAGGTGGTGGCAAAAGTTCAACCACCTCAGGCACCACATTGTCCCGATTGGTGGGCAACGACGGCAAATCAATCAACAAAAGTTGCAACGTGCGCAAAATCTGGTCTCGTTCGTTCAAGTTCAACGCTCCAGCCAACTCCGTCCCACATGGGATTGGCCCAGCGCACTTGGTAGTGCAGTGTCGTGGCCTGAAAGGCCACTCGAATGCGGTGGTGCTCAAGTTGTTGCGCTGAAACCTTGAGCGAAGTAAAGGACCTGGTCAAAAGAAAATCTTCTGCCATAGACTGTGTATAGGGCAAGGCATCTTGCAAGGTCAGCGCTGCTGCTAAGATGCGTTGAGATAGCGGCTCGGAGAGGCATGGAAAATGAGCTCGTGCCAAATCTGAATCCAGCCATTTGTGTAACACTTCCACCGAATCTGCCACAATGGCATCACCACAGCGCGAAGCTTCAATGTTTGTCAAATCAACGCCTCTCCAGAGATTGTCTCCAGCCGTGAGGCCATTAGAAGCTGCTGCCGCGACCCACGTGGTGGCTGCTGTGGCCATGGCATTGGATGCATTGATGGCCGATATAGCCGCAGCCGCCGTGGCATCACTGATGTCTGCCACTGCCCCAATCACTCTTGAAGTCTGATGAATAGGTCCAGCTTCACCTGATAGCAGCGTCATCAAAAGCAGGGCTGTCAGCCCGGACATGCCTTTGAACACAGCTGAGCACCACCATCGCACCCGGCTAGTCAAAGATGGACTGCGCCGCACGGCCCTGCGGCAACAAACGGCCTCTGCCTTTGCCGTTGCCTTTGGAGCCGGACTGGTACGTATTGGCGGAGGAACCGACTGAGATCTTTGGGATCGCTTGACTTCGACTTCGTCTCTGGAGGAGGGCGATACGAGTTTCTGCAGCTGATCGTTGCGCCAGACCCTGCGCTGATAGTCCGTGAGCCCTTCCGGTGGTTGAGGAAGGAGCCACTTGTTCTCTTTGCGTCGCAGGTCCGGCCTCATCTCTTCTAGTTTGGGCTCCACTGAAGCTGCTCGACTCGGTCGCGGGCTCATGGGCTGGTGAGAGGTTCACAAAGTACTCTAGAAGATGTTGTTGACACCACTTGGCTGCTTGCATATGCTTAGAGGCCTCCACCTGTGTCCTTGTGTGCAAGCTACCTGCAACATCGATGTATGTACGAAATGAAGTCTCTGATTTCCATCTTCCAGCCTTCTGAACTACCGTCGGGTCTGCCCCCTCCATGATCCTAGATGTCGCAAAGCCTGCTCTCCCGGAGTGGGCAGTCAAATGCAACAAAAGCCCAAAATGTTCCTCTGCCTGACTGAACGAATTGTTGTATGTTGTATATGAAAAAGGAAAAATTCTCTCTCCATCTTTGCTAGCAGCACATAGTCTGTTCATCAGCTCAAAGGCCCATGGAAACTCATGCTTGAAAATCTGCACAAACTGTTCACGTTTGATTTTCGTTGAATGCTCCACCCCCAAACGAACACTGATTGCTTGATTGTGATCCAGTGGCAAAAAGACATGCTCCCTACGCAAGCTCAACAGCTCTGACGGTCTCAGTCCTGTGCCCATTTGCACAATGATTGCTGCCCCCAATCTGGTTTGGCCTCGCGCCGCATGATGAGCAGCAAAGAGGCATGCAACTTCGTAGCACATTGGGACTGTGTGTGACACTGGTTCCAAGCAACAACGCCCTTTGGCTTCTCTTGTAAGCACCAACTGACCTGACCTTTGATATGCGGAAGAAAAAACTCTAGTGCTGCACATAACTGCATGTGTTGCGACTTTGTCAACTCTTGCTCTGTCCTGTACTCCATGACTAGCAAATCAAGGTCCGCAGCGGAGATGCTCTGTAGCTCCCACTTTTGACTCACATATGCCAGAAACGGGTCCAGGTGTTTCTTGTACACCAGCAGGGTGTTCTCTTTGACTCGACCCTGCAAATCTGGATGTAGCTGACGCATGCATCTGCACACGTCAGTAATGTTCAACATGTCCTGGAACTTTCGTCGGCTGGCTGCTTCCCTGACTCAACCCAAGGCAGCAATGTCCTGAGATTGGCTGCCAAACACGCTGCTGCCTTCTGTCGCAACAATCTGTTGAGGGGAAACGACGGACTTCGTCCCTTTGCCATGCTGCTCGCCGTCGGCTTGTTGTCTTGTAATGTGATGACCAAGCTGCCATGGTGTTCTGGATTTGCTGCAACCTTTTTGAGAAGTTTGAGGACTGTTCTGCTTTCGCTCAGGGCGATATGCTCCTTGAACTTCCACCTGCCTGCTTCAACAAGCCGCCACCTCGACTGCACGAAAAGCTCATCAGACAGAAGGGTGAAAGGCACTGTAGGCTTCAGTGCTCTATCCGGATATCTCGCCCCTTGTGTCCCATCAAGTCGTGCAATGGCCTTGCCTTCAGCTCCACCTTGTCGCAGCAAATCTGTTGCTTCTGAAGTGGACACTCGAGTGGTGACAATGCCATATCCCCCGTTGTCATAATCATTGGCCCCCATAGCATCTGTTGCAAAAATCCACTTTGGCAGCTTGGCCCTACGTGACAACTCATGAGGCACGTGACCTTGGCCATGGCCAACACTTCTTCTCTTGCTGACTTCCACCAACAAGCCTCGTCAATGTTGTGTTCTTCATGGAAGCTGAGAAAGCTGAACACTGTCTGTGGAATGCTCAACAGTTCGCGCCTCAGCAAAGCTCCGAAGACCCACACACCAACTAAAGCATGTAACACTCTGATTCTGACCTGTCTGCGGCCAGCCACAAAGTGTAGGGAATCTCTCAGCAGTAGCATCTTCTTCATAGGAAGCCTGAAGCTCGCCGGGTATCTGATGACCTCATAGCCAACTATCTTCTCGGCCCTATCGTTGGTCTCCTGTTGTGACACACCGAACCCCAAGCCTTCTAGTCCACTCACCACTGCCTCCATCATCTTGTCAAGGGACCCATTTTGGAATCACTGATGAAGACTGTATCATCCACGTGCACATATGCTGCTGACTGTCGCTCAGTAATCAACACTGCCTGTTGTCTGACTGCAGCCTCATTCAGCATCACTGCACCACAACGCCTCTGTTCGCTCCACGTGCTCCACGCAGTCACTCTGGGCGCCGCCTGGTCGTGCTGGTTGGCCAGTGCACCTGTGGGACCTGTGTGAGTGTCCCTGAAATGCACAAAGGTTTCAACAAACAGTCTTGCCATTTCACGGCACAAGGCTGGTGGGTAGGTTTGAAGCCTTCTTGTATGAAAACCTCCTTCAGCATTCTTGCCTATCGATGGTCCGTGTTGATGGTCTTCACTCAGCCCTGGACATCTGATGCCATCCAAATCTGCTAAGCCACGAATGGTGCCTGACAGACAGGTGAGTTTTGGAACTGGGCCACCAAACGGACATTGATGCAGTAATGCTCTACACGCATTGGTGCGGCGCTCCATCTGGATCATCTCCTCTGTTGCCCATATGGAGGCGTAAGGTGGACCTCCTGGATCTGCCGGATGCTCCCACAGATGCGCCCCTCCTCTGCTGGAAATGCGCTCACAGATGGCCATGTAGTTCAGCCACAATGTATTTGCTTCTTGCACTCTAGCCTTCTCACATGGCTCAAGGTCTGCTCGACCCCAGATGCACCATCTGAACCTGAGAGGTCTGGGCCCATTCGGAATCCAGACATGTCTAGACCTCGCCACTGTGGAACATGGGGGGCCACCCAACGTGCCGTCTATGAGCCCCTCCTCAGCTAGCTGCATGATTGCGTGGAAGGTTCTCGGCAATGTGAAGTCCCACCGGTGGTCCGTGGCCAGATCAATGGAAATCATGAGCACTTCAATGCCATGTTCCTGTGCCAGCTCATGGACATACTGTTCAACATCGCCCTTTCTCCTTTCTCCAGCAAAAAAGCGCATCAGAACGAACACTCGGTCTTGTTTCTGTTTGGCCTGCCTCACTGCTGCACACCATTGTTCAACAGTGTAACCTGAAGCTTCTTCGGTGGGGTTGTCTCGCCTGCACTGTTGTCTGCTCTGCCACTTCTCACCTGTGAGCTCAGGCACTGTATCAGTGTCATGCACAACTGTCTCTGGAAGTTCTGGAGTCTCCCTGCAAGAGGTCACATGTTGAAACAATGCTCGTCCTATGTGCTCTAGGTTGATGCGCATGAGAATGTAAACAGAGTGCGAACCACCCATTGCCAGCCTAAGATAGCGCGGGGAAACATACTCCCTCGCAGGATGCAATATGGTATCTCGCAGCTGTTCCGGAAGCAAGTCCCACGCTTTGCTCGCCAGCACTGGTGGTCCACCCTGCCAAAATGTCATCCACCTAGGCACCTTCACAAATGTAAATGCAGAATCCTCATCGCAGATGGACACAGCTATTCGGTTGGATGTCAAAGCTCCTCCCCCGTCCATTCCCAGGTGTGCCCTTTGCGACGGGTCAGTCATCATTCATGTAGTTGGCTGCAACCTGCATGATCAGTTTTCTCTGTTGGGTTGGGTCTTTCTTTGGAACTGCTGACACCCCAGCCACTGCCCGGACGTTTTCCATTTTGTCCCATTCCCACAAGCGCTGAGCATCTGTTCTGGCCAAATATTTCAGGTATTCTTCTTCCGAGCCCCCAACGAACCCGTAGTGAGCCTCCAACTATTTGAACAATGCTTCTGACTTGCCTGCTGTGTCGATGACGTGCTCTTCTTTGCTGTAAAACAGTGCATCGTCTTGTGGCAACGCCTCAAGCATGTCCAAACATCCTGTATTGGATGGCTCAACCAAGCTCTCGGCTGAAAGAGGCACCTGTTTGACCTTCGTGAAGCTCATGTAGCCCTGATCATCAATGGGTTGCTTCAACAATGTCGCCACCGCTCGCGAAGTCTGGACGCCTGTCAAGCCGAGGCTCCGGCGTGCCCGTGCTGTAGCAGCAAAACTTTGGAGTAGACGCTGCAAAGCAAGAGACCTGGCAACCGTGGCCTTCACGTGGCCCAACTTCTGTGCTGCTTCAGGCGATGTCAGCTTGGTGCTCACCGCACCTTGTGCCAGAGCGTTCAACACCTTGACCAGCTGCGACGTGCCTCTCCAAACTTCAAATCTTCTCTTCTGTCTGGTGCGCAGTCTTGCTGACCTGTGCTGCTTATGTTCTGGTCGCTCCGGCAATGGCAAAGGAAACAAGGACCAGTCATCCAGTCCTCGTATGAATTCCGCCGCCTCCTCTTCCGTCATGTTGTCAGAGGCAGGAAAATTGACCCGCTTGTCCATGCTAGCGCCATCCCCCACAGGCGGATCAACCGTGGGGTTGGCGTCCTCTTGGGATCATCCTTGAGTCTTGGGAGGGTTGCCCCCGCGAGCTCCTTTTCCTCCACCCTTTGTTCCACCTCCACGGCCTCGGAATTTGCCGACATATTTGGTGTGTCCTCCTCCTCCAGTGCCATGTCCCCCATGATCTTGTCGGCTCATCTTGTTCCCCCTTTCTGAACGTTGCCATTCTAGCTTCGAATGGGCATTGGCATCGTCCAGAAGCCATTTGGGGGCTATATCAGCATTGGCACCAGGTGCACGGACTCCCAACATCCTGTTGGCTCCCGTTCTGTCCTTTGTTCGACGAAAGTAGATGAAGGACCCCAACTTCCTCAGGTGGATCTCCAGGGTATCTGACGTACCCAGCTTGGCCATCACTGCTGCTTCTGACCGACAACCTGCAAGTTCAAAATCAATGATGGTCGCCGCCATGAACAGGTCTTGGTAGCCCGGGCTCTGTTTCAACTCCAAGGTCGGGTGTTGATCGTTCACCCACTGCCTCACTGAGCTGCACCCCTCAGCCCTGATGTTGCGGTAAAGCTCCGGGGCTGCTCTCTGCAAATCTGCTGGGAGCTTGAGGTGCCATGCCATGTCCTCGGGGTTGGAGCCCTCTCCGATGTCTGCAACTCGGGCGAATGAACCTCCTGTACCATGTGGTGGACCACCGACTGTCTCAACCTCTTGTAAGGACCTCTTGAGTTCTTCTGCACGAGGAGGCCCTTTGGTTTCGTCACCCACATATCCGTGACTTTGCAGAAGGTTGATAATCTCTGGCTCATCTCTGGCTCAAGCTGGTATATCTCCTTCTCATTCTTGACTGCTTGCCAGAAGAGTGCCCCCCAGCCTGGTGTGGAATTCTGGAGGGCTGCTGCTTTGCTGATCGCATCTCTGATTCGCGCTGCTTGCGCCTGCAACTTTGAACTGGGCCCTGAGAGGCTGTAAGGTGCATAATGTTCACCTCCTGTAGCCACGGGTAGCATTGTCTGAGCCACTACCTCTGACACTGCCTCAGTGGGAACACTTTGAATCGTCAGGCCACTGTCGAGTTCTATGGTATGCAGACCTGCACTGGTGTTCTTCACTGTTCCCTGTTGACCTGCTAGCAGCTGAAAAGGAGCCCTGTTCAACAACTGCACTCTTCTCAAGCCCGTTGTTTGCACTGACTGTTGGGTGCTGCCTGTCTGACCCGACTCTGTTCCCTGAGCGCCAACCCCAGCATTGCTCTGCAACGTCGGCAAGGGGGGTGCCCCAGGCGGTGGTGTGTCAAATGCATTTCGGCCGTCTGCGCCTGCACCCAAACCTTGGGTGTTCAGTGTCTCTAGGGGCGGCATGTCTATCTCGATCGGCCCCATCTGGCTTGGCTGTACTGCTACGTGAGGTCTTCCATGCTGTGGTGTGTTCAAGCTATGTAGGAACCAAGTTGCACCTGTATACCAAAGCACTGAACCCAATCCCAACAGTGAAGCACCGACAACTGACACATACACTCTGGTTCGTCCTGAGCGCACCCACGAATCGGCGGCCAGCATCAACAGACCTAAGGCTATGCACTTCCAATGAATGGTACTGAAACCACGCGGCTGCGCTGCTTCTGGTTCAACGAAGGTGATGGGAAGACCTGCTACAACCTCTGACCATGTCGAAAGGTCGCCAGTGACCAATGGGAAGGCCTCTGCAGCCTGTGTAACAGCTGCGATGTACAGGTTCCAAATCACATCCGAGCGAACTTCATTCGTCAAACCCTGCAACGACGGTTCAGCCGCCACCCAGCCAGCTATGGGCATGAGGCATCTTGTCATGCCTGACCGCTGTTGTGCCACTGTCGTGGCATCTCCATTGGTTCGAATGCGATTCCGAGTGGCCAGTAGCGTCTCTTCCAAGCCTCACGTCCCTAGTCGAACCTCCAGCTTGCACGATAGCAGTCAGGGCATCGGACAATGCCTGCTGGGAAATTGCCATGGAAGCAGCCTGCCGGTTAGAAAAGCATCAGCACGTCATGGTGCTGATGCCACCCTTGATCCCTGAAAGACTTGAGCCACTTAGCCGAATGAATTAAGTGCACTAGTTAGCGAGCGGGACTTTAGTCTTAGACCGCCCGGGTAGGAAGGACTAGGACAGGAGAAACAGAAGGAAAGACACCAACACACAAATGTGTTGAGTGCGACTTCCTTCTGTTACCCTACATAGCGGGTGGAATTAAAAGTCTGAATTCTCGCGCAAGGAGGGGGGGTTGTGTTGGCTCAGAGGCATTGCCGCAACCGGCGCTCCCTTGACTGAAAGGCACCTAAAACCTAAAGAAAGGCCTCCCCTGCATGTGTGGGACGGTTCATTCAAGGTGAATTAGGTTGCGCAACATCCTTGGATACAGGGGTTGACACACACACAAAAAGAAACAGCCGGGAGTAAGGCGCGCTCTCTTTTTTCGCGGGTGGGGGTGGGGGGGGAAGGGGAGTGCGTTGACTAAACGAGCCTGGGTGTCCACCTAACAAGCCTGAAAGAAAGAACAAGGCAAACGAAAAGGCAAGAAAAGAAGAGAAAGGTGCAAGGGGTGTGGGGGCGTAGGGTGGGGGTGTGTGGGTCCTTGCCCGAAAGCGTGACAAAAAGCCGTAGCCGGCACTCATTTGACTGAAAAAGCCTCCGTTACACCTAAAAAGATTCAAGAAAACGAAAAAAGGCTCAGAAAACGAAGAGCAACAGCAGGAAGGAAAGAACAGAAAATTTTAAGTGAATACTTAGCCGCATGTGTCCCGCCTCATGACATGTGTGCACATGTGACTACCTAGCAGTATGCGAGGATCCGGTCTCGAGTAAGCCCTGCGGCATTCGATCGGCCATCTCGTGCAAAACCGCAAGCTAGTGAGAATCCGAGAGAAGGTCACGGGAAGATAGAAGAAATGATCAGTGAGGGTCCCCCAAGTCTGGGTCTATGCACATGCTGCGCCCCTCGATGGGGATCACACCACACCCCTCAGTGGGACTCTGTGGCGATACACACTTAGATGGTTGCTCGAAAGAGCTAGGATCAGTACGAAGTCCCCCTTGACTGGAGGCCGAAAGGCGAGGAAGTCCGTAGATTTGAAGGTGTTTAACAAGTTGTTTTGGTGCATTAGCGGCTTACTGCAAAACACAGAAGTGGACAGCTTGTTAACAGTTCAAAAATATACAGCAGCGTGGTGCTCGCAAGAGCTGAGTCAGTGAATGAAACTCCACTTTAGCGATTACATAACCAGTGCAGTAGACCTTGACTTGCAAACGGTAAGGTGCATGGGTCCGCAAAGAACAGACATGTTGTAACATCTAGCGATTACAATGCCGGTGCAGTAGACCTTGACTCGCAAACGGTAAGGTGAAAAGGTCCGCGACAACTGAAGTGTTTCAACATCTGCATGTTTCATGGTTAAACAGTTTTTAAGAATGCAGGTACGTTTGCACGTGTCCCAGAGGAGGTCTTCGTTGGGACTTTAAAATTTGGTTTTGAAACCATTTACAATGTGTGCGGCCTTGGAAACAGGCTTTGACACAACAATCTCTGAACATATTTCACATCTCTACATACTGCTGAGGTGAACCCTTTCGATAGTTGCTCAAATGAATAGTGCAAGTGCTTCTGCAAGGAAGCTCCCCCTGCCCTCAGGCGGGGGGAGTTTCCTTGAAGAAGCGTAAGCTATCCTGCGTCCTAGGTAGGAGCGTCCAGTACCTAATAGCTGACAACTAGTAGCCTATACCTCTTCCTCTTAGCAGCCTACCCCCCACCCCCGGGCTAAAAGAAAAACGAAAATTCGAAACGGCTGGCCGTTCGCTTGTATCGCTTGGACGTTTTTTGCCTTCCAACTCCAGCGCTGGAAACGTCTCCACCCATGTCATGTCGCCTGCCGGCATGGCTGCCCAGTCATGCCACTGGGACCAGCCTGCAGGACAGTGAGATAAGTTGAGAGCCACAAGAATCAAGCAAAAGGCGTTTGTCCATACAGACTCTTGGTACAAAACACGCTTGAACTTGCGTGGGAGAAAAGGAAAGCGGGAACCCTGCGAGTCCAAACAGGCCTCAGTTTGAGGCCTAAAGAAAACACAAGGGAATCCTGAAATCCCACGGACTGCAAGATTGATCATCCTCTACGCAAACCTGTGCTCGAAAATGATATGATTAGTTGATCCATACTGCACATTGGCACCTTCCATGTTCCGAGGCTTTGCCTACAGCTGCGATGAGCTCTCGCTCGTGCTTGTCCTATTTCTCCTTGAACCGCTTTTGCACAAAGGACAAGCTCTCAACCACATTGAAATCCGCTTCTCAGTTTTGGGCTGTCTGTGGGCTTCGCATAGAGGAGCTTGCATTGAAAATCAAGCAAGGACAAAGGAAACAAAGCTTGGCCATCAGATATGTTGCGAATGTGTGCTCAGGAAGCTGTCTTGTTCGAACGAGATACAGTGTAACCCCCAGCAATCAACCAGGCCTCCGCATGAGGGATCCGATGCATCTCTCGATCTCCATCCAAGCTCCCTGCAAGACAGACCAAAAATTCTCGATATACTAAGGAGTTCACAGCCAAAACCCAACCGCAAGGGTAAAAAAGAAACGTCAAAGAAACCACTAATTCTGTACACATCTTAAGTAAACGTTATGTCCTTGCAGGGGTCATCTACATTTCATGACCTTTCACTCTTGGGAGCAACTCTGCCAAAACTGAAACAGGTGTTGACAAACATTAAGCAATTGTTTAGGTCGGTTTCGTAAGAGTCATTGCCACAAAAGGGCTAGTAACCAGGACGCTATTAGGGGTCGTGGCATCGCTACTAGGAGCACGGACGCTACTAGGGGCTCCTGGCCGTACTACAAGGAACAAGAAGCTGGGGCTAGCTAGAGTCTTTTGAACTGAGCTTTGCGAACTGCAGCAAACCGTCAAACCTCTGTGCGCCGTCTCCAACTTGGCATGTCCGGCCATGGTGCTTGCTTTTGAGTCCTTGCATGACCTTGTCCAAGCTTGAGGTTGTCAAACGAGCAGCTTATGCCTCAAAACCAAAAGCTTGAGGGTGTGATGATCAGTGATGATACTGCCAGCGGCTCGTAAGGAAGTGCTTCTGCGAAGAAGAACCTGACTTAAACAAAAGACGTGCTGCTATGGCACCGAGTGATTGACAAATACTTACAAAAACATCTCGGGAGGTGTTCAGCACGTAAGAATTTAGCAGATCTGGCAACACAAGGATGGAATGTCCACCCATTCTGCTGATGCAATCAAGTCTTCTTGACCCTATCGGCAGCCAGGCAGAACACCTGACTCGAAAGATTTTGGACTTTGAACCAGAAGGTCAGCGCGCAATTAGCCTGTTTACCGGAAGACTAGCAGTATGTCCCGGATCTCTTCTGGAGCTGCAGTAGAACCAGTGGAGGCGTGCTTGAGGGTGGGCTGGTCCATCAGTCCATTAACAGCCAATAACAATGTGTCCTAGACCAAGTGCACTGAAATCGTTTATGCAAATTTTTAAAGTGCCCTCTCTTCTTTCGTTCAACCTTATGTTGAAACGGCGGCGGCAGCTTTGCTGCCACTTGGGAACAATCACTGTTGCAAGGCGCTGACAACAAAAGCATCTTTCTATCACGCTAATCTGCTAACTGCATGCCCGAGAGATCTTGCATCCTTGCATAAGCTCAAAATCATTAGGAACTATAAGGAGACACACCCACCTTTGGATAGTCACCATGGCGACCTGCGCGCTTCCATGCAGCACCAATGAGAGTGGTGAGTCAGGAAGTGAAGGTGCAGAAACTGAGGATTCCAAGTCTGAAGGCCAGGTCCAGTGCATGTCATTCTGACGAAAGGCTGTTTGGCCCTTCCTTTAAGCTTTATTGTTCGAGTTTGCATATTGAAATCGTGACTGAATCACAGTATATATGCCAAAAGAATACAAACAACGTCAGCTTTACAAAATAAATAAATAAAAACAAAAACAATCTCATGAACCCTGTGAAACAGGAATGCGAGAGTAGAGAGAGAGAGATAAAAAATATATTCTATATATATATATGAAAAAAACTACAAGTACGCTAAAAGAAAGAAAGGAAAACATAAGGTGAAGGTCCTCATCTCACTCTGCCCCACCGGGCCCCCTCCAAAGGCCACAGCTGCCGCACGCATGAGCTGGGAGGCAAAGTCTGGTGCCTAGTGTGGCGAACGTTGTCATTGGACTGGCAGCTTGATGTCTTGGGGGGAGCAGCTAGGCAGATTGGGCTGGCAAACATCGGAATTGTCTCAGCGGCGTGGCAAAAAGAATTGAACAAGTTAAGGAGATGCTTTCGTACGCAGCATTAACTGGCTCATGTGTTGACAGTTCTCCAGAGTTGTCCGCTTTGCTTGATGGTTTCGCACATGATTGTTTTTCCCGAATGCGTAGCGAAGGGTTCTCGTTTAACTCTGGGGGTCTGGGGGTAAAGCCTTGTTCGCGACCCGTTGTCTCAGCGATCGCAGCCGTTGTCAACCGTTCGCAGCCGTTGTCAACCGCTTGCAACTGTCCGCGGTAGGGCGCTAAGGCGCTGCCATTGGGGGAAGCTTTTGGAGAGGGATTCGGATGGAAAAGTGACGTGTCAGATTCGTGTGAAATAGTGAGGAATCGTATGGAAACGTAAGGTGTTGAAGTGTGGAGGATGATTTCACTGCGCAGGCGCAGCGTTTTGTGAGATTCGCTGTTTTCTGCGCAGTCACATTGGGATTAGCGTTTGGGGAGTGGTGTCTTTGGGGTGTTGGATGTGGCTGTGCCATCATCCCAAAGGTGTGGTGCGGTGCAAATTTTGTTGAAGCTCACATGATATGATATTGTCACTTTTCGTGGCAAGTGCAGTACTTTGTGGGGTTTTGAGGTGTGGAAGTGCGAGTTTCGTGGCAGGCGCAGGGAATCGTGAGGTTGCGAGGTGTGGCGCCTCCGCGGCGCAGTACTTTGTGCGTGATAGACGCGTGGACACGTAATGTCGCTGTGACATTGGGATTGGCGTGCGCGCAGGCGTTGTTCGGAGGGGCTGGAATCGCGAAAATGCTTGGCAGGGCTGCTTGATGTGTGTGCTCCGATGGTGCTTCCCGCTTGAAAATGCTCGTTTTGGAGATTTTGACGTGTGAGTTTTGGAGGACGTCTCGTGCGAAATGCTCGTTTTGGAGACTTGACGCGTGACTTTTGAAGGAAGTCTCGTATGAAACACTTGTTTTGCAGACTCGAAGTATGAGTTTTTGAGGAAGTCTCGTACGAAATGCTCGTTTTGGAGGATTGATGGGTGACCTTTGGAAGAAGTCTCGTACGAAATGCTCGCTTTGTGGACTTGAAGTATGACTTTTGGAGGAAGTCTCGTACAAAACGGTTGACTTTTGGAGACTTTAGTAGTCCCCCACAAGAGTGTCCCACAAGAGTGTCCTACACTACACTGTCCTACACAGTCCGACAGGAGCGTCCTACAAGAGTCCACAAGAGTGTCTGACAAGAGTGTGTCTCGCAAGAGCGACGCGCAAGAGTGTCCCACAAGAGTGTCCAACAAGAGTGTTTTTGGCAAGAGTGCGCCGCTAGAGTGCCCCGCAAGAGTGTCATACGAGAGTGGCCAACAAGTGTCCTACAAGAGCGCCCCACAAAAGTGCGCTATAGAAGAGTGTCCCACAAAATTCCACAAAAGTGTCCCACAAGAGCGGCGGACAAGATTGTCCTACGAGAGAGTCCCACAAGAGTGCCCGCAAGAGTGTCCGACAAGAGTGTCCTACAAGAGTGTCCCACAAGAGTGTCCTACAAGAATGTCCCACAAGAGCGTGTGTCCCGCGACAATGCCTTACAAGAGTGTCCCACAAGAGTGTCCTAGAAGAGTGTCCCGAGAGTGTTCCACAAGAGTGTCCGACAAGAGTGTCCTAGGAGAGTGTTCCGCGAGAGTGCCCCACAAGAGTGTCCGACAAGAGTCTCCTACGAGAGTGTGACATACAAGAGTGTCCCACAAGAGTGCCCCGCAAGAGCGTCGCAAAAGAATGTTCCAGAAGAGTGTCCTACGAGAGTGTCCCACAAGTCCCGCAAGAGTGTCCCACAAGAATGCCATACAAGAGTGTCCCACAAGAGTGTCCTAGAAGACTGTCCCACGAGAGTGTTCCACAAGAGTGTCCTACAAGAGTGCTCCGCAAGAGTGCCCGACAAGAGTGTCCGACAAGAGCGTCCTACGAGAGTGTCCCACAAGAGTGACATACAAGAGTAGCCCACAAGAGTGTCCCGCAAGAGTGCCCCACAAGAATGTCCTACAAGAGTGCCCCACAAGAGTCATGTCCTACAAGGGTGTCCCACAAGAATCCAACAAGAGTGTCCCACAAGACTGTCCTTCAAGAGAGCTCCGCAAGAGTGTCCCACAAGAGTGTCCGACAAGAGTGTTCCGCAAGAGTGCCTCACAATGTGTGTCACAAGAGCGACGCGCAAGAGTGTCCCACAAGAGCGTCCAACAAGGTCCAACAAGAGCTTTTTTGGCAAGAGCGTCCTGCAAGTAGAGTGTTCCGCCAGAGTGCCCAGCAAGAGTGAGTGTCATACAAGAGTGTTCCACAAGAATGACAAACAAGAGTGCCCCGCAAGAGTGTCCCACGAGAGTGTCCGACAAGGTTGTCCTACGAGAGTGTCCCACAAGAGTGTCCTACAAGAATGTCCCACAAGAGTGACATACAAGAGTGCCCCACAAGAGTGTCCTACAAGAGTGTCCCGCAAGAGTGTCCCATAAGAGTGTCCAACAAGAGTGTTTTTCTGCAAGAGTGCCCCCACAAGAGTGTCCTACTAGAGAGTTCCTCACGAGTGTCCCACAAGACTGTCCTGCGAGAGTGTCCCGCCAGAGTGACATACAAGAGTGTCCCGGGCTCCACAACAGTGTCATAGAAGAGTGTCCCACGAGAGTGTTCCACAAGAGTGTCCTACAAGAGTGACATACAAGAGTGTCCCGCAAGAGTGCCCCGCAAGAGCGAGCGTCATACAAGAGTGTCCCACAAGACTATCCCGAAAGAATGTCCGACAAGAGTGTCCTACAAGAGTGCTCCGCAAGAGCGTCCCACAAGAGTGTCCTAGAAGAGTGTTCCGCAAGAGTGCCCCACAAGAGTGAGTGTCATACAAGGTGTCCCACTAGAGTGCACAACAGTGTCCGACAAAGGTGTCCGAACAGAATGTGTCCTACAAGAGTGTCCCACAAAGTGTCTCCTACAAGAGTGTCAAAAATTGTTTGGGTGTTTGTTTTCGAGTACGTGTTTGCATTCGGGTTCGTGGGTTCCATCTTGTTTCTTTTGGATCTTCAATTTGTATCTTGCACTTGCTTGACCGACCAACCTCCGCAAACCCAACCTCCAGGGTTTTCACGGCCATGAGCTGAGCCCTGAATGCGACAACTTGAGTTTGACATGAGGAAAACGAGCCAAACCAGACCTGACCAAAACTAACAAGCAGCTTACAACAAATTTGCTTGCTTGTCTCGTTTGCTTCGACCATTTTGGAACCCTGCTTGCATGTTTTTTGCCCAGCCTAAGACTTGCGCAACGATCCAAAAAGTTCTTCAACCAAGCGATCTGCTCTGCGGAATCCTCGACGCAGCAACGCAGCTCCCAAATGCCCACCAAATTGCCATATATATATATATAAACGTCGACTAGGCGCATCCCGCGCTAGCACTTTATATAGCTGTCAGACGTATCAAGAGCCAGTGTCTACTGAGACCCATGAGATCTTTCTATAGCCACAAGAATGACAACCGAACAATATGAGAATGGCACGTTCACACCCCCCAACTCCGTCCTCAGAAAACTCTTGGCTCTGAAGATCATGGAGCTCATCCAGCGCGACCTGACAGAACAAACCCATCCACCGCTCAAAGATTTCTGGCGCGCAGCAAAATCGGATGTCTGCACACCCACCACCTCCCAACTCTAAGCTTGACATGTCTGGTAAACTTACATTGTACGTTTGTTTCGTGCCCGACCACGACCCAAGGCCCTGGCACTTGCCGAACACGCGACCCAACAGATCGAGAACAGCAATGGACGCCGATGGTCGATCTAATTCTGGAACCCTCCTCCCCTCTCACCCTGACTGCGGCTTTGCACTGCCGACAGTGGGCTCCCATATGTGCATGCCTGCTGGCCAGGCGATTTATTGATTTGCCTCTCCCCAGATCTTGTGTTTCCATCTCTTTTCTCCCGCTTTGCTTAGCACTTCTTGACCTTTGTCTCTTGCTCCTCCACATTGATCTTTCCATTTTCCGGCAGATTGGGCAGCGATGCGGATGACGAACTCTCCCAGCCCAAACCGCGGGGTGACCAGACGGATATGGTTCTGGCACTTGACGACCTCCCTCCTTTTACTAATCAGCTCTTTAAAAATCCATTCATATTAAGTATTTTTATTTATGCTTTTGGTATCATTATTTAGTTTAAAAACAAAATGAAATCCCAATAGCCATTAAATGAAAGATAGTAATATGCCATTGGCAATAGATAAAAAAAAATGAGTAAATGCCAATGGCATACTGAAGCACGCTTTGCCAAGCCTGATCAGGGCCTGATCATCCACATTCACATTGCAATGATCCGGGGTGTCTGGTAGGGTATGGAACGCCCCCAACGCACCACGCCAAACAAAACCGCAACACTACCACCACCAAACAGAATTCAATCAGGTGGCGGGCGTGGCCTTGAACCAAACTCACACACACTTAAGATTTAAGATGAGTGATGAGTGCTCCGTGGAGCTAGGCTTCAGTGTTTCGCGGTGAGCATTAGCACTTTACGTTTGCTGCAAATTAGACCTTGACTCGGCAAACAGAATGCCGAGAAGTCCAAAGATTTGTGTTGTTGAACATGGGTGAAACGAGAAAACATTGAAATATTGAAATTAAGGTACGCACAACGCGGCGTCCCGCATTGCTTCACCACGAGCTGACAATGTCTTCGTTGGGCAGTGTCTGTCAGCATTGGCGCTGTACACTTTGCGGTAAAACCACTTGTTGTAGTAGTGGAAAACATAGTGTCCCTAGGTACGGGAGGTGACACACACACACACCACCTCCCAACTCTAAACTCCAAACTTGACGTGCCTGGCAAGTTTCCTTGCTCAACTAAACACGTTCAAAAACCGTTTCTGATCGATCTTCATTGTGGGCCAATCTGAGGGAAGCTGATGTTCATTCTATATTTTGCTTTCTGTTGTTCCCGCGATCACATTTGTCAGAAGGTTGTACTTCTTGTACTTCCGTACGCATGCAAGCCTTGACCTTGGCTTCATCACGGGCCAGCTTCTGATCTAAATCCATCAGGGCCTACAAGGAATGGCAATGGGCTTCCAAGGCATTGACGCTTTCGGGATGAACATGCTTTCACTATCTTTCATTGTAAATGCGTCTTGCCTCCACCGAACAGCCCTCATCCAAGCAGTCTTGGATCGCCAGCGTCGTGGCCTCACGCAGCAAAAGACTTGGCGCATAATATATCCGTTACTGACATCTTGAGAAGTGTGTTGCAAGTACCTCGTTTGTACCCGTCTTCTTTGTGTTGTTCTGAGTCCATGTGTGTGTGTCACCCTTGGAGTCATACAAATTCCTTTGAACTTGTTTTCCTTTTCTTATTGCAGGTGGGCACAGAAGGCCCATAGAGCTGTGCCCAACGAAGCTCTCTATGGTGACCTTAGGATACGCAGCCTGATCAGCTGCACGTACCTGCTCGATCGAGCGCTAAAGCTCATTTCCTTATGGCCCCTCAATGTTTCCAGCCTTTGCAGCGGTTCACCATCGGCAGACAAGCGCTCGTCGATCGATTTCTCGCCGTCTCGAGTTCGTGATTTTGGAAAGGTGAAGACTCTCAGGTTCATACCTTTTACCTTCAACCTGGCTTCTTAGGCATTCATACCTAGGTGGGCATGTGGCGAGTGGCATTCAGTTCAGTACGCATTTCTTAAGCGTGTCTTTCCTCAGTGAGAGCCCAGGGTGCACGCGAGGAGTGTCCCCTGCGGCCCCGAAGGGGGGTATGTCTCTGTTTCCACTGCCTGGAAACGCACGTGCCCACAGCGGGCGGAGTAGGCTTCTGCCAAAGTCATTTGCCAAGACCTGACGAATTATTGAATACGAGTAGGCAGCTCTCGAGCAAGCCATGAGGTGGCCATAGCGGTCAAAGCAGCCAGCCAGTTTGGCAGGGCGCGAGCAGACCGCAGCGGTCGCAGAACTTTTGACCCGGCGGGTCAGTCGCAGCCTTAAGTGCACACACAGCGCGTACATTCCAAACCAGGCCACGTCTTCCTAGGTCCTAGGTCGCTTCAATGAGGTCTGGTTTCGTCGGGTTCTGGCCCCTTCTTTTGATTCCCCTCCTCATCATTTACCTACACTTTCTTTCCTTCTTTCGTTTCATGTCTCTCCCGGCTTCATGTCCCGTCATCTCACTCCTTTCTTTCTCTTGCGCGCACATCGGCCCGGGCCTCAGCACATACGCGCGCATCTACCTTAAACCCAGGCTTCAGGTCGCCTACAATGAGGTGGGGTTGATTGTTTGCTCCTGGTCACTTGGCTCCCCTTCATCGCAACCACGTACACTTTTGTCCTGCCGCGTGCCCTTTTAATGTCTTGATCTGTTTGTCCTTGCTGCTCGCACACATGCACATTAGACTCTCTTTCAATATTTCCCCCCCACGCCGGGGTGCGTGCGTGTGTGCCCCTTGTAGTCACAGGGATTCTTTTGAATTGTTTTCGTTTTCGTTTTGTTTCAAGCAGGGGGGCTGGTTGTTCATGCAAGTACCAGCCCAACGAAGAGGCTTGCATTGAACACTGATATCGGTGGGGACGCTCACCGACGTACCTGCTTCCTTCGAAATTTTGAACTTTCTTGTAAAGGGCCGTAAAGGGCTAATGCAGCTGCAGTCACGCACGGAACGTCGTCACTTTGTTGGATCGGCTTCGCCTTGCGCTTTGGGCCACACTTCCTTTTGAAGACCCCCAGGCTCTTTAGGACTTTCCTGGACCTTTCAGGATTTGGGTTTCTTAGGCTGGCGTGTGGCACTGCTGTCAAGTCAAGTCAGTACGCATATCCATAAGTGTGTCTCTCCCAGTGAGAGTCCGGGGTGAGCCCGTAGAGTGTCTCCCGTGGACCCGTCGAACGGGTGCGTCGTTATCTCCCCTGCCTGGAGATGTACAGCGGACAGCAGATGGCTCATGCCACAAGAACTTAGATGTTTGTCTCATTTTTGGAATTCCAAGTTGGCTCATGCCTTTACGCGACCGCAGCGGTCAAAGCAGCCAGCCATTTCGGCAGGGCACAAGGTGACCATAGCGGTCAAAGCAAGTTTAAGGTTCATGGGAACCTGTCCCCACCTCAGGCGCACACACAGCGCTTACACTCAAACGAGGCAAGTCCCTAGGTGCTTCTAATGAGGTTTGGTCTCATCGGTTCTCGTCCCCTCCATTTGTTTCCCCCTTTCATCCCTTCCCCTTCACACACTTTTGTTCCCTCTTTTCTTTCATGTCCTCCTGTCTTCATGTCTGTTCATCTCATCCTTTTCTTCGTTTGCGTGCACATTGGTCCCGGCCTTAGTGTGTACGTGCACTTCTACATACCTTTAAACACAGGTTTCAGGTCGCCCAGGTCTTTACAATGAGGTGGGCTTCATCGGGTGTCCCTGTGCACTTGGTTCCCCTTTCATTTCAACCACACGCACCTTTGCCCCGTCTCGTCTTCCTGTCATGTCTTCATTCTTTTGTCTTGCGCGCGCACACGTAAACATTGGCCCTCACCTTAGTTTTACGCCTCCCCTCGGGGAGGCGTGTGTGTGTGCCCCTTGCAGGGGGGCTGGTTGTTCATGCAAGTACCAGCCCAGCGAAGAGGCTTGCATTGAACACTGATATCGGTGGGGACGCTCACCGACGTACCTGCTTCCTTCGAAATTTTGAACTTTCTTGTAAAGGGCCGTAAAGGGCTAATGCAGCTGCAGTCACGCACGGAACGTCGTCACTTTGTCGGATCGGCTTCGCCTTGCGCTTTGGGCCACACTTCCTTTTGAAGACCCCCAGGCTCTTTAGGACTTTCCTGGACCTTTCAGGATTTGGGTTTCTTAGGCTGGCGTGTGGCACCGCTGTCAAGTCAGTACGCATATCCATAAGTGTGTGCGCGTAACCTTTGGAGTCACAAGGTTCCTTTTGCAGTTCCTTTTTTTTCAGCGGGGCGACTGCCTGACTTGTAACAGTGGCAGTCCAACGAAGAGGCTGTTACGAGTCACTGATATGGATTCTGGACGCAGAATCCACGTACCTGCATTTTACCTGGACCCTTAAGCTTTTCACTTAGGCTGGCGTGTCGCAAACCGCAACCAAATCAGCACGCAAACTCTCAAGTGTGTCTGGCTTCACGCCAGCCCAGGGTGACCCCGAAGACTGGGCCCCTGTGGACCCGTTGAACGGGGTTTTGTCGCTGTCCCTGCGCCCGGGACCCGAGGACAAAGTAGGCCCAGGCCAAAGTCATGTGCCAAGACTTGATGAATTATTGAGTACAAGTCGGCAGCTTTCGAGCAAGCCATTAGGTGACCGGAGCGGTCTGAGCAGCCAGCCATTTTGGCACGGCGTACGTGGCCGCAGCGGCCGAAGCATGTTCAAAGTTCAGTGGAACCTGTCAGGACCTCGACTCCCTTCCCCTTACCCTCCCCCTCTTCCCTCTTTGCCTTTTGGGGTGTTCCTGAATGTAAGATGCTTTCGTCATAGCTGGGAACCCTTTTCTTCTCTCTTGATCTCTTGGTGTGTCCTTGGACGCTTGTGTCGTAGCTGGGAACACCGTCGTTTTCTCCTTTTCTTCTCTCTTCTCTCCCCACCCCTCCCTATTTGGCTCCCCGTTTTTTATCGTGTTTCCCCTTCACACACCTTTTTTCTCCTCTTTTCTTTCATGTCTCCCTGTTTTCATGTCTTTTCATCTCATCCTTTCTTTCGTTGCGTGCACACCTGTCCTGGCCTTAGTGTACTTTAAACACAGGTTTCAGGTCGCCCAGGTCTTTACAATGAGGTGGGTTTTTCTTGATTGTCCCTGTGCACTTGGTTCCCTTTCATCGCAACCACAAACACCTTTGTCCTGTCTTGTCCCCCTTTTCATGTCTTCATTCTTTTGTCTTGCTGCGCGCGCACTTACACTTTCGCCCGGGCCTTAGTGTTTCTTGCCTCCCCTCGGGGGGGCGCGTGTGTGTAACCTTTGGAGTCACAAGGTTCCTTTTGGAGTTCCTTTTTTTTCAGCGGGGCGACTGCCTGACTTGTAACAGTGGCAGTCCAACGAAGAGGCTGTTACGAGTCACTGATATGGATTCTGGACGCAGAATCCACGTACCTGCATTTTACCTGGACCCTTAGGCTTTTCACTTAGGCTGGCGTGTGGCAAGCCGCAACCAAATCAGCACGCAAACTTGCAAGTGCGTGGCACCCTTGGAGTCATAGGGATTCCTTTGAATCCGCCGGCTAAGCCGGCGTGTTCTGTGGATGTTCCTGTTGCTGTTGCTGTTGTGTTGTAAGTCTTTCCCCTACGCGCGGATTTTTGCTACCCCCCCCCTCCCCCCCTTCTCCTCTCTACTATGCCACGGCACTCCCGCATTCACCCTGCATCCTCGAAGCGTACGCCCCAAAGATAGATCAAGGCTGCAGCACGGAGCACCCTCCTCCTGCCATGCCTCCAATCTGTCCGCTAAGATGCCAAACTCTTCTATAGATAAACAACTACCCTGTGTTCCACTGCAGGCATTTTCTACCCCTTCTTTCCAAACCCGTGCTCAAATTGCTACAAACATGTGTCTTTCATCTGCGTGTCTGCTTTTGTTTACCTTATGGCCTTGCCACCTGAAAAGCCGGCGGAACACGCCAGCGGCGGTTAAATTTGTTTTCCTTTTCGTATTGCAGGGGGGCACAGAAGGCCCATAGAGCTGCGCCCAACGAAGCTCTCTCTATGCTGACCTTAGGATATGCAGCCTGATCAGCTGCGCGTACCTGCTCGAGCGCTAAAGCTCATGTTTCCTTATGGTCCCTGCTTGTGATTAGAACAATGTTTCCAGCCTTTGCAGCGGCTCACCATTGGCAAACAAGTGCTCGTCGATCGAATTCGCGTCCGAGTTCATGATTTTGGAAAGGCGAAGACTCTCAGGTTCATACCTTTTACCTTTAACCTGGCTTCTTAGGCGTTCATACCTAGGTGGGCGTGTGTCGAGTGGCATTCCGTGCAGTACGCGTTTTTTAAGTGTGTATCAATAAGTGTGTGTGACTTGCCATGAAGAAGGGCAAGCAAAACTATGTGTGCCTCTCCTTTGGAATGGGGAACTGTGAGTTCTCGCTGATGTGGAATATAGGCTATAGGTTCTACCGCATCTACCTGCTCTGAGGTCGAGCCCAGTCCAGCGCATGCAAAATTTGATTTGTGGGCTTGTGCTGGACTTGGCAAATATGCATGCGATTGCTTAAGTCGCCGGACTTGCTTGAGGTGGGGAGGTCCATGGACGTTCTTTGCGCGGCATGGCTGGTGCACTTGAATCACTTCGGTTTGTGAAATGCTGGAAGCTTCCACCATCCCATCAGCAGAGTTGCAATTCGTTCACCGCGCATCTTTCCATGTACAAAAAGGCTACTTACATGCGATGAGACCTTCAAAGAGGCGACCAACCGAAGCTGATGGAGAAGATCTGCCTCATTGGCCTCCAGCATGGGCTCAGGCATATGCCTCGATGTCACTATCGAGCCATCCAAATTCAAATTTACCTGACTCAAGCGACCAGGGCGATATCAACTGCGGCCAGGTCTTGCGCTTAGATGATGTGTTCTTTTTGGTCAGCAACACGTTGAACTTACACATTGATCTGTCACCTGGACTTCAATCTGCGCCTTGCCCTGGGTGAAGGCTCTGGTTGGATGGCCTCTCCTGCCACTGGGCGCTCCAATGGCCTTGAAACAAGAGAGGTACACAAACGCCGTGATTACGGGTCTTTGTCTCTCTCGTTGCGTCCGACCCTCCATAGCACCAGGATCTTCAAAAACATGCTGCTACTTTGCTAAAACGCCAACGACCACCTGTACCAGCCAAAACGTACTAAAACCATCTAAAACCGCTCTACTGCATAAATTGGGTTTTGCCAAATAGCCGTGAAAGCTACCACAAAAAGTCGCGCGAACGAGAACACAAAAAAACACGAAAAAAAAGCACGAAAAGTTGGACGAACGGGAACACGTCCAGAGCATGAAACATAGTACGGGGTCAGAGTCTGTCCGAGGGTCTGAGGACTCTGAGGAGGCTGGAATTTGGAATTGGCGGAATTGGACATTATGGACGACAATCACCAAAACCTGCCAACTGAGTAGGATGAGCGCGAAAAAAATACAAAAAAGGCACGAGCAAGCGCAAAAACGAGCACACAAAATAGCACGAAAAAGTTGCACGAACGAGCGCACAAAAAAGATCCAAAAAGCACAAAAAATAGCACGAAAAGTTGAAGGAGAACACAAGAAAGCGTGCAAAATAGCATGAAAACAAGCGCAAAAATGAGCACAAAAAATAGCACGAAAAGTTTTCTTATATAGGATTATGAACAATTATGGTAATAAACCCTTGAAATGACTTACAATTATTTGGTAACACCCAATCCATAAATATGAACGCCCAGCTATACCAAAGAAAGGGACACTTGAGTGGAGACTAGCAGATTCGCAAAAAGAGCCAGCCGCTCATTGCGCGCGCCCTTTCCAGGCAGGACAAAATACGAGGCCTGGATACATCACATTCTGTCTTAGTGCCGGACAGGTCTCAGCTCCACAAAGGCCTTGTGTTCTAAGTAGGTAAGTAAGTGGGTAATGCAAAAAACACGAAAGGCTATCACATCAGCAAATTGTATTGAAGGTAGGTTCAATGGCGCTTGCCACGTTCCACCTGCCCCGTTATTTTCGGCTGAAGGTATACTGCAAATCTGAGGCCATCTTCAAAAGCGGAAGTGCAAGATCGTGATACTACAGTAGTACAAGTATTAAAGTTCACTCAGCCATCCCACAACACAATGATTGACACGTCACCCTCGGCAGATGCCTGGCGGTACGTGCAAAGAACAACCTGGCAGAGACGAATCTACTTTTGGCAACACGCGTGCAAAGCACATGCATTTCTTGTCCACGGTCTCCCCCTCAAAGCCATACCCGGCCGTTTGCCCCTTGAAACTTCCATGAGTTTGAAACAATGCCGGTAACACTGCTAGCGCTGCTGCTGTCAGACCTTGGGTTCCGGGGATGAGCAAACCTACTAAATAGGCCTTAAGTTTACCTAAAATCTAAGAACAAGGAAGCGCCCCCCTACCTCAGGCGGGGGGACCTTCCTTGAAGAAGCGCAGGCTATCCTGCGTCGAGTGGGTAGTAGTTTAAGTAGCTAGGAGGTTACTCCCTTACTTAAACAAATAGGCGCCTACTCAAGTCAATAAGTAATAAGAGCGGACAAAAGAATGCACAGCACGAGGCAGGTATCGCTAGGGCTCCAGCGCTTGCCCATCTTGCACCCAGGTAACACTGAATCCAAGCTATTTTTGAAAAGGTGCGGCTCGTGAGCCAGGCATTTGCACAAAAGCATCAAGCCAATCTTTGCACACAGGTCCACTTCTATGAGTAGCTACATCGCAAAATCCGTGCATTTCTCAAGCAAAGGCTGGGCTAGGGCATGTTAGTGGCTACCAAAAAAGAGATGACTGCGGTAAGCTGATGTTCTTTCTTCGTCCTTGCCAAGTCGCTTTTTCTTCAATCAAATTCATCTGCGCTTCTTCGAGGCGTTGCCACCCAGCTTTACCTTCTCCCCATGGACTTGCACGGATTTTATCGTGCTCAGCCAGGTTTTAAACTTTTTCACGGGTTTGGAAAACATGTTCTCTAATTCTTTTCATCCGGTTTCTTTTCGAAGCTGGCTAAAACGCACACCGAAGTCCTTCGCTAGCTCGCCAACTGTTGGCGGCTGTTCCTTGTCCCAGGACTTCAAGAATCTACGAACATCGGCCGCAAGTTGATTGACGCGCTGTCGAGTCGGCCCAGGCCTTGGCGGCCTTGGTATCTCGGGTCTGGGAGCGTTGGTCTCCCTCGGATTTCGCAAATTGCTGAACCTGGCCTCTCGCCGTTGGCCTTGTGAGCGCCATATGCCAGGTGGGAATTTGCTCTCTGAGTGCCAGGATTGCAATCGGAGGATCATCAAGGCCTACAGCAACTGGTCCTTGGGCTAAATGACACGAACACACAAAGGAGGAATTCTTTCTCTCTCGAAACATTGACACCCCAGAAGCACTGCGGATTGAACAGCAAGACAGCTGGTCAAGGGTCTGTTGCAACATCAGCGTCACCCACCACACGCTTGCCCGTCGGGGCCGAAACTTCAACGCCAAGCTCCTGCACACATGGCCACAGCGACTCAAAAATAGCAGAAAATTAGATAGCCATAGAGAAAGTGAATCGGAAGCAGCAACTGTATCAAATAGCAAGCACAAGCAAGCATCAAGAACGTGACACCCCGACCACAAACGAACAACTTTGAAGGCGTTGCGGAGCCAGCAGCCAGTAGTGCGTGGTACAGTGAAGGTACTCATGCCAAGGCCTCCAGGATCTTTACATAACTAAACCTCAACAAGCTGGAGCTGAGAAGCAAGGGAAGGCAACACCTCCATCACAATGGCAGCTAAAGCCGCAAAACACAGACAGAGACAACCTGGGCAAAATGAATCTTAGAGGTTCGCACATGAACTGATGATCGGTTCATTGCGTGAGCGCAAGCAGAATCATGAAGAATTCAGTTACAGGCGTGCGTTTCAGTGGCTTCTGTCCTTCACAGCCATGATCTTGCAGCCCCTGATCGAATATCGGAGGAGGATGTCATCAGGCGCAAGATCTCTTTTGAGGATCTGCTCCAGGAGTTTGTGAAGGCAGCATTGAAGAGACTTCGGGTCAAAGTTGGTCACTTGAATTGACTTTGGAACCAAAACCAAAAAGAGCATGTCCATGAAAAACATGTCAAAGCACACTACCAAAGCCCAAATTTATATAGGTTGTTTTCTCAAGCACGGACATCATCTGATGAACTACTTCACATGTTTTGCAGGCAGGCGAAGATTCCCTCCACTTGTGCTCCGCAGATGAGCCCAGGTGTCCAAAGTATGGCAACGGCACAGGCAGCGGCGGCATGTCCTCACATGTTCCATCACAAGCGACTGGGCGTGTAACGATGCCCAGCTCTGTGGGTCGTTCAGCTTTGTCTTCCGAGGTAGACGTGGAAGAGTAAGAACACGAAGAACTAATTGTTTCCTGCGCAAATGATAAATGATGCACAGTTGCACAAACTGAAGCAGTTCCATGATGGTGAATTATGAATTGCGGCAAAGTTAATTAGTTCATGGCCCGTATTGGGACTGCATCAAATGATTGTTTCTGGTCAACCACACCGCTGTCGGCAAAATTGAAAGCCAACGTCAGACGAGAAATTTGAAAACATTTCATCCGCGTGGAAAATGGGATTAATGAAGGCGCGCGTCCGCCAAACACCAATCTTTGTGAGGGGGTGTGCATGCTTTGCTGAAATTTTTGATGCGGAGGTTCATGGCAAGAATCTTCAAGCTCGCACGCCACAGTTTTGAGGGCATCTGCTTGTTGGCGAAGAGTTCGCTTTGTTTTCGGCTGGGCCTGGACTTCAGGGCTTTTGTACGGGAATGGACGATTTGTTCCAAGCCAGACCGGAAAGAACACACCTGGGTCAACGATTGCAAACTGATACCACGTCACGCCTATATCTAGCAGGTAACAGGTAACAGCCTGAAACGTGCACCGTCTTCCTTGAGCCAAAACACTCGCGAGTAGTGTCTAAGGTACAAGTACAAGCAATGAAAAATACCCCCCGCGGCGCGGCCCGATCACGGGCGGCGCCGAAGAGGCAGAACATCAGGCCATGTAGACCTCAGGACGGACTGACAAAGCTATGCACAATGTACAAGACCTACGAAGGCGCGCTTAATGCGGAGAATGGTATGGGTCAAGGCTCAATCCGCATTGCCCCGCGCACCCCTCCTCTCAGTGTCACCGGCCTCTTCGGCAGACTTGGTTTGCCGGGCCTTCCTGGAAATCCTCTTGATGAGGTCCTCAACGACACACGGAGATCGGCTTCTGCCTGGGCTCGGGCCGCCTCCGTGGCAATTCGAGAACCCAGCCACACCTTTGCGCCGCAACCCACCCTGCCAGCGCTCAGTGCCGCAAAGAGGCGTCTTGCGCTTGATCCTCATAATCACAGCCACAGCGACATCCTTGGGAGTCAATTCAATTTCATCGGCGCCTGATGCCCACGGTCGATTTCGATTTCGGCGAGCGCTGCGCAAGCCGGCAATCTGGACAACGGCGCATGGAGCGAGCATCTAACCTGCAAGTTCGCAAGGCTCTCCTTCTTCTCCTGGCTGCGCCTTCCGGCGAGCTTCGGTTCTGGCCAACTCATCGATGACACCGGACAATGTTGATTGACCCTTTGATGATCTTCTCCTTGACATCCTTCCAGTTGCAACATGAAGTTCTTACTCTTTGATCGACTTGCGATAGTCAAATAAGCTGGGTTCGACCAAACGAACGAGGCCTCGCGGGCGTTGAACGCAAACAGATGCTTAAGGCTTATTCGAAATCCAGTCTGGCGAAAGGATCGCGGAGTCAGTGCGGAAAAGCCTGACGCCTTCCTGAATCATAAGCTCTGTGTCAAAAGCCAGGTAGATAATGTCCTACGATTCATCAATATCTCCTCAATAAAGCTAAGCAAATCCCAGAACAGATTATTAAATTACCCCCAAATAAAGCTAACTGTTTTCACCCCTGGCCCTAGGTATCCCAAATCCAGCCTTAAAAAAATGTCCTTTCTTGTAAGTCTTCTCAATCTAATCCCAATTTCATTCCCCTTGATGAACTCTTCTTCA